AAATTACAAAAATAAATTTTATATGTATAAAAATGAAAAATGAAGTAGATTTAATTTATAACTTCGTACATTTGGAATATAGTAACGTTACATTTTTAATTGGACTATTATCATTATTAACCATTTTATTTATAAATAATTGTATTTATAAATTCAGTAAGAGCCACTTTCTGTGTTGGCTCTTTCCATAGAGAAGAGTTTATTTTAAGCAGTCGTAGAATGTATAGTGAAATGATCTGCTTTAAAAGTATTAGCACAGATGTAGCTATAAATTTAAGGATAATAGACTAATATTTTTTGTAAAAAGCTTCAATGTAAAAGGCAATCCTCATATCTTACATCTGTTGGCAGCGAATGAATTATGGCGCTGCAACTGAATACGATTACACAAAATTGCTTCTTTGGTTACCCGGTCCAAAATAGCCACCAGCTAATAACTTATAGGCTGCAGGAATGTACTTAATTTAGGGGCATATGGAAAATAATTCAAAAGTATTAACACTACCTAGAAGGCAAGATGAAACTTTTCTTGAGTTAAAATTTGAATGATTGTTTGTATACCTGTATATTTAAGTATATATTTAATATACTTTTCAAGCAATGCCAGCATAAGCAAGTAACCATTCAAAAGCAATTAGCCGTTGGCACTGTTTAATTATCGACCCTAGTTAACTAAAAGCTAAATTGCTGTTAATTGGAAATAACTAAGTAATTGAATCATTAAATTTTCAGTTTAATCTAATACACTAATGCTCCTATTGCTTGACGAATTTTAAATATATGTAATTTTTTACAATACACAAATATTCATTCAAAACTAGACATTTGTGATGTATTAATTATTGAATTAATTATTAATTATTGAATTAATCTCAAACTGTCAAAGAGTTGTTTCAATATACATGGAAATTGTATCAATAATTGGTTAATAGTTATTTGTGTAACTAGTGCGCGAAGTGGCACTTTGTGCTTTCGTCACACATTTTATTTTTCCTTTATTTACTATAAATCATATAAATAACTAGTGTTTCAAACACAAAACTACACGTTTTAGGTTAGGTTAGGTTAGGTTAGGTTGAATCCAAGCGTTTATGAAAATAGAAGTTAACACGAATCAACAGGTTAAGTCGTACTATCAAAATTCAAAATGCTGCACCAGCTGATGCAGTCATAGTATCCTTAAGGTTGCCAAATTATTTCTAAACGTACCCGTATTACGTGCCTAATAAAATCACACGGATTTGTTTCGTTTGGTTAAAATACTGGAGTGCGGTCAAAAAACGAGTGCGTAAAAAGTAAATAAGTGCAGCAATTAGCTACTTTACGTCCTATAATCACTGCAAGGCTTTGTCAGGTAACTGTAGGAAAAATAAATTGTTTATTTGTTAAATTAAGAAGACAAAAAAGTCTAAAAATATGTTTCTTCTACGTTTATAATCAATTTTATGGTTAAATTTTTTGTGTTTGGCAAGGTTTACTGTTTTGGAGTACAACAGTTCCACAGAAAATCACTATAAATGTAGTGTTTTTTAAATTTTTATTTATTAGATTGATTTACATCAACAACCTTTTTAATTATAAATTAAGTTGAAATTGCATTATGATATATTCTGAAAGATTTACAAAAAACTTTATTTTTAAATAATTAAAAAAGAGGGTCAAAATGGTGGTATTGCAACGCACACACACAGTGGCAGTGCACAGGAATTAATTTTTCTGAGTTGATTAACGTTGCATTTAATAAAATTGCTTTCTGTAGCTATGAAATCATTTAACTGTGTTTATGTTAGAATATCGTGCCCACTTGAAGGTTTCAGGAAGACACAGTCCTCGGAGCGTGCTATACAGATAATGTTCACTATAAACTCTAGGTAGAATGTTCATTCTGTGACGTCCTGGGCTGATGTCCTTAAGCCACGAATGTGTTGAAATGTCCTTTACCTACGACCGTTTTAAAGTAGCCGTTTCAGTTCAGTTCTTAGAATTCAAAACGTTTCTCATAACAGCTTACTTTCATAACAGAATGGTTTTACTCATAACAACAAGGGCAACGGATCAATGAGGTTCAAGTATTGAGAGAAGAAGTAAAATTGTAATGATTCGAACTTCAACTAATCAGCTGTTCAGACCAATTTAATTATTGAGTGGTGCAATTAGTGTTTGGTACAATGTTTCGTTGCATCACTGTCAGTGGCAATGAGAGGTTATAACATAACCTCTCCAAGAGGTTATGAGTAGTGATTTTTAGTAATAAAAACAATGCCATAGGTAAAGTAGTGTACGCAACTCTCGTAAATAGTGTTAACGACACTCGTAGAAGTTTGTAAGGACTATTGATAAATTTAGGAGTGAATTAATTTCAGTACTAAATTAATTATCACTTTCATTCTTTATCTTATTACGCTAAAATTTTAGTTTGATAACATTATTATTTTGCTGACTATACTGAGGTTTCTGCTAGCAAAGAAAAACAAAAAATGTATCAGAGGGAATAATTTGTGTTGCATTAAAGTTCAATACAATTGAATGTTGCCTAGTAATAAAAGAGACCAGGTATTATCCTTCTTTAATTTATAATAGTTTTAAAAATAAAATGATGATTTTGGTTTTAAAAACTTCTCATTTTTGACTTACACAGTAACATAATACTTGTGCATTTAGGGTTCGTGCTTTGCTCACCTTAATAATACTTAAACAGTATTCAAAAAGGCAACTGAAAGAACATGATAGACATCTTAAATTTAATTCAACTGTGAACATTTCAGTGTACACTTACAACACACAAAAGTCTTCAAGTAATTTTCTTAGCGACAATACAAAAATAGTAAACTGTATATATTACACATACACATCTTGAACAAATATAAACATTATAGAAACATTACAAAAAATCTTGTAATTCTTGTAGTATTAGAGTTATATAATCTTACATGTGGTGAATATTAACTGAATAATAAAGAATATCGTAAACCAAGTCAACTGGCTATCATAACATTTGAATAGCCGTGAAAAATTATTGAATTTATAATTAATACTTAAATCAACGAGATACAGTTGGTGTTTGAAATGTAAAGTATGAAAGTTGACTTCAAAACGTCAATGACAAAATGTAGGCTAAATCATTCAGTCTTAAAAATACAGAATTCGTTGTTATCGTTGAATTAATTATAGTTCATTTTGTAAAAATATATTTATATTACATGTATTTTTTGAGTAAAATCATAAAGTAAAATCATTCATTGAACATTGCAATCAACAGTAACAGTTGATCAATAATTAGTAATAGACTATATGAGTGTTTTTAAAATATTAAAATAACAATTTCTGTAAAATCTTAAACTATACATATTTTTATCATTCTTAAAAACGTTGTTATTTTCTAGTTGCTGTATTAATATTAGGATTAGTTAATATCCAGGGGAAAGTAATTTTCATTTGACGAATTTCAAATTGTTTTCAAATTGAAGTGATCGATTAAAAAGCAGCCTTACGTTTACATACACAATGAAATGTATACTTATATGCAACTTAGCTATGAATACAGTACACTCTCTCGTCACAGTTGTTAAAAATAATATTTTTTAATTGATGTTATATTGCGTTATCTACACTCATCCGGAGCAGATCCGTCAGTCGCTCTGTCGGCGTCCGTCAGGCAAGTTTAGATTTCTTTCCAACAATATTTTTTGATCGCTCGGAAGCCTGACGGACGTATTTGAGGTTAGAAAATATTGCTTTTGTTATTAAAATGCTTGTTTTATATTTTGAGAACTGTTTGTAAGAATCAACAAAATGGACTATGAAAATTTGATAGAATATAGGGTTTTAATTTTAAAAAATTGACTGTAACATCACTGTAAATATTAGAGACGGAAGACTGACTGAAACCAACTGACGGAAAGTTGACTGAGGAATTGCGGATGTAACTGAGACTGGACTGTGACTCGACTGTAACGGAACTGTGACTAGACTGATATTTATGAATTGACCTTAAACCGATGTCCAGTCAAAAGTTGTCCGGATAAGAGAGAGTCTACTATAAAATAATAAGATCAGAACCACTTTGCTCCGATTTTGTCGTTCTATTCAGCATAAAGTAGTGCAACCAGCAATTTTTATAAGAACTTTACTACTTATTATTTAACGCCTGTTTACTGACAAGTATTGAACTTCCTATCAAAGAACGTCTCGTCTGTTGATATCTTATGGGGAATAAACTAATGATTTCTGCAGAGAAATACTCCTCTTTCGAGAATCAAAGAACATTTAAAAACAAAACATCTGAACTTTGAACAGTTTGGTTGGTTTGACGGATTCCTGTAACGACGGTGTTTGTGTTTGAAACTAAAACTTTTTTGGAAATCAATAAGTTGGAAACTTTTTTGGATATTTCATAAGCTCTTTGGTTTTGATACACACGTACCGTATTAAACCTAAAAGAACACTTTTGACGAATTTCTAATCAGGGGATTTTAAACACATACATATGAATAGGGATGGTTTGCATAAAAACTTATTTTAGAGATAAAAATTACAGTCATACCTTTCTAATAATTAAATCCAAAAATGTATAAAGATACAACATTCTTCCAAAATACGATTCTATTTTAAAACTTATTAGTTTGGTATTTACATGAGAAGCAAAGATACATTCAGAGAAAACGTTGGAAGCTTAACACCACAGAAGTTCGTGTTAAAGCGAATGTTGAAAAGAGACCTGAGTACAAAATCACTTATTAACACAGAGTTTCAGCCTTTTTCTGTTTGTGCTTCGCAAACCGCTCGTCAGCGTCCTCACATTCGTTGATAACTATTCTTGGCAATCGTTTGCAAATAAACTTCACAGAATGTCCAGATTTCGGAGACGAGTCTCCCAAGGTAATGTCACTGTTATTTACACGCGAAACATGTTCCACCTGGGTAACTGTTACTCCAGAACTTGGTTCCGCATCTGCAACGGTTGTCACTGGACTTATGAGAAGACCCTGAACTGGTCCACTGGGCGGCGGTCTTTCCAGGTGACCCGGTACAAGAAGGAATCGTCGTCGACAGGATCGTAGCAGCCGCTGCTAAACACGCTCCTCCGTCTCTAGCACAACTACTTCTGGAACACAAAACTCACGATGTACACTTTGGGAACATACTTTACTGGTAGCACTCTTGGGGAAATGTAATCAATTCAAATGTGAAAACCACGCACGGGGAAACTAAATGAATTAAGACCTAGTTTGAGGATTAAATTCTTAATTTATTGAATGACAAAGATTCATTTGAAATAATTTACTAGTTATTTGTAAATAATAACTAATTGTCATGAAATATAATTTGGACATATTGTTATATGTCCAAATTATATTTCTTACACTGTAGACAACATAGGACCCTATAGGTTGTTACCCTATAGACAACAGCGGGGAGGGAATGATAGCTTAAAGATAAGACTGCAAATTCCCCATTTACACCGCTCAGGTTCGGTCATACATGTCAAAAGAAAAGTTACACCTCTTCTCAGCAGAACTATCAAGCCACACATTCAATGCTGCGACCAAACAATTGAACGCGATATAGAAATGGAGGTGTCGAATATTTTATGACATTCAACAAAACTCAATTTAATTTATTTTAAATGTTAGCTGGTTGTATCATGATTCTCTTGCCTAATAGCCAAGAGAATTTGCAGTGTCTATGGCAAAAATTTGCAAAAACTGTGTTCTGGAATAGTATTTAGAATCTACAACCTTAATAAATCGCGAATTGTCACACAAAGTATAACCTAAAAGATTAATTTTCATATCAGGAGCTTTTGTCAAGGCGTTATGGTGTAGAAATGTCACCCAAATTCAATAAAATTCCAACCATTTTGTGAATACATCCAAACTGAATAACCTTTTATATCAACAAAAGTAGCCAACTAGATTGTTATGTAAACGTTGTAACAAGGTTGAAAATTAAATTAAAGTAGTTGAAACAATTAACTGACAGAGTGCACTGCTGTCAAATATTGATTTTGTGTCGAATACCCAACTTTTTAACCAATGGAAACCTGAATGGAGAACTTATTGTGTGGTATCTGCTTGTAACGTCTTATTTGAACATGAGGCCATATAGATGGGATGTCTACTACGGCATCCAAAAGACAACTATAAGACTTAAAGAAAAATATTGGAATTTACTATCTTTTTTAATTGTGTCGGATCGAAACTTACAATTATGAGCACTGTATCAGTATAGTGGTTTATATGTTGCACTATCCTAAGGATCCTTATGTCTGCATTACAGAATATAAAGCTAAATATACAGAATACTTAGTTAATTATATCTTTACAGTGTATGGATTATATATTTTTAAAACTATAATGACTCTAAAGACTGAAACGAATAAGAATATAATTTCCAATATTGGGAGTACAACACTTGACATCGTAACAATCCAGCCATCCTGAGACATAATCTAGAGCTATAATAAAAAAAAAAACACAGTTGCAAGTGCAAGGTTCTTTTACTCTCTGCCAAAATACCTTGTGGCCAAAAATAATGTCAAGATCTTCAAAAAGAAAATGAAGGTGTATTAAAAAAATAATATTATTCTCCAAGTTATTGACGCAATTCTGTATTCATCTTTGTTATTAATCATGAATAAAATATTTCTGATTTTGATTTGTATTCAGAAAACAAAATAGTAATCCATTTCTACATTTTACTTCGTTGACGAATCATTCTACAATCTGTCACAGTCTCGTTAAGAACGATATATCATCAGCTACAACTCCCAAGTGACCTTTTTACTCTGTAAACATGCCTATGATAAAGTTTACAAGGCACATACCAGATCTGCACCCCCGCCCCATGTAGATGGTAGAGTCGTTGCCGGACAGTTCTGAGTTGTTTGGTCCGACAGTTCCACATCCCTCGCCGAGCCTGTCCAGGGGACACCCGTTAGCGTCCACTGGGGCCTTGACCCCACAGCATCTGTTGGGAATATGATCAGGTTAGTGAGAAAAATACGTATTTGCATACATAGTAATTGAATTTAGTTTATGATTAAAACCGTTATAAATTGAAGAAAATATCGTAGGGGTATAAGGGGAAATATTGGTTTCACACAATTGGTGGTAGTTCGAACAGATTGGTTAGGTAAAAGGAATAATGGAAAAAAATCTTAAACCAGAAATACAACATGATTTGGGTCGTTTAATAATGGTTGTCATATTTCTTGAGACCAGCTTGTGTAGTTAAATAGTATGAATTGTAAATTAGTATTGTATAGAAATAAATAAAGACAAAAATATTGCTTGGAGTGTGAAAAGAACAAAAAGAAAAGGTAACAAATGGATTAAACAGCTGGATTGAAAGAGAAAGCTAGACAATGAATACCACATTAACATTCAAAATAACAATTGTTCAATTTTTATTGTTTTCATTCCAGATGAAATATCATTAATTACATGTCCAATTAATTCCCATTAATAACCTTTAATACATTATGATAAACGTATTAGGTCACTAGGTTATCAGGGTATGCAGTTTGTACACTATTTATCGAATGGTACTGTAAATAATATTTAATATTTAATTTAATTCTAGTAATAAGTATGTTTGATTAACATAAATAAGTTATGCAGGACATTACTTGTAAATGACACTGTAAATTTTATATAAGTGATATAAAATGTAGAAAAATACAGCATAACCTAAATAAAATACAAAGATGAACAGAAAATTTCAGTTAATTTTTTATAATTGAAATTACTCTTTTGGCCGAGCAAGAGTGCACACCTAGTATTACTAGCGATATATGCAAAGAAAATATACTTTTCATCACTCTGTATTCGAAAACAGCCCATTTCCATACAGCTTGTATCTTCGAAAATAGTCAATGTCCATACACCAAAAACTAATTGTGATCAGCTGACTTTTTCTGACATAAACATAACTTAAGCTACACAAACAATACTTTGCCTGACATCAGCAAAGTCACATGTAAAGAAACCATTATTGTTTATTTAATTGTTTTGGCAGTTTTTTGATGTTCAATCAGCTGAATTTTACACTAATATTAATTGTCGTATTGTGTTTAGATTAGGAAAATGAATAGATTACGAAATATCAGATAATCTTTTTAAGTTTGGTGAAGTCGTTTTTTCATCATGATCAAAAGTATCGTTCAATACTTTTCAAGGAAGTCCTATTTCGGGGTTAGTTAGTGTTGTGAAATATGCTATTGTACTGAGGCAATAGTATACGTTGTGGTTTAATCGTTTTGAAGCGTTCGAAACATGAGTTTGGACCGCTTTCATAAAAAGCGTTAGCTTACCTTCAATGTATCTTCTACATCATTCCCCTGGCATAGAAAATCAAGAAATAAGTGTAGGCATGCAATCTGGTTTGTTTCACAAAGGTTTGCTACATATGTTTATTTTTACTGTGACCAACTACTGTATAATGTTGTTTACAAAGCATTTAAATACAAACAAGATTTTATTGTTTAGACTACCACAAGAATAAGTGCTCAGCCAACACGTATAATGGTTACAGTGCGCAAGTACTCCACCTGCGATACAATATTGACCACATTCTGACCAAGAAAGAATCGTGTTGCTGCTGCCAATAAATCAAGGTAAGACAAAACACCTGTTTCCTTCACTTTCATGGCTTTGTTTCTATCTTAGAAACTTTAACAGTAGAATATAATTATTGAGATATTAAAAAAATAATTTGCAATAAAACTAAAATAAAACATTTCTACCTACACAACGAAGTTTAAAACCCTATAAATCTATAAAATATTAAGTATTAAAAATGTAATAAATGAATTTGAGTCTATGCATTATGAAAATCATCCGCCAAACATGTAATTTACATCAAAGTACAACCAACTAATTCATCGCAACATATTATAACGATACAAACATCAATAACAATTATATCTTGCATCATTGAAATCTAATTTCACGAAACTATATAATGCACTTGTCAAGTAATTAAACTCTGCTGTTTATTAATTGAATTTCTATGCAATTTCAGTACTTTTCAAGTTACAAGAATCTTAAACCAGGTCAATGGTTAACTATAATTGTGTAGAAATTGTTATATGACGTAACATAATAAATTCATGTAATTATCCAGCGTATTTGGTGGAAATGGAAATAACTATCAATTTCCTAAAATCATGACGCAATTCATTTGACCATTAGAAAGGCTTATAACATTTCATGGGCAGTAGAAAACAATGTTTCATCATATTTTACTGCAAATGTCAACATTATGGTTACAAACGCCAAGTTTTTTTGTCTAGTTTGGCAGGCGTCCAAAAATCTTTTTAACATAGGATCTTTAACCAGAAAGAAAAAAAATTAAACTTTTGTAAGAATAAAGTGTTAGTAACATTTCAAAATATTAATTTTAATACATTCAAAATTAATTTGTTTTAATTTTTTGTTTTAAAACTTGTCATGCAAGACACCATGTGTTTGAGTTTAAGAAACACATTTTTCACAGTTCATTTCATTTGTACAACTTACCCTCTCCATTTGTACCAGTTGAAAATGGCAAGGAAGGCTTGTCGGAACTTCCGGTTCATGAAGCAGTAAGTGATGGGGTTGCAACAGGAGCTGATGTAAGCCAACAGCTGTACTAGCGAAACGCCTGTGCTTCCGACGTACTTGTACACAGTCTCTGGGTAAAACAGGTACCATGTGTTGAGAACATGTAGGGGCGCCCAGCAGACGAAAAACTCTGCCACCACCACGAACAGCATGCGAATCACCTGCAGAGTTAAATGTCGAGTTACGAACATATGAATAACCTGTAAACATAAGGTTGGGGAGCGAGCTATTGGTCGGGACTTTGGTCTCAGAGACACCGGGTTCAAATCCCACCAATTACCATTGGACTTTGTATAGGTGATCATGCCACGACCCCTTTAGATAGGCCCCCCTAGACTGACCCCCTTTTGGACCATGGGGGAACGAGCTGGTCTAGTGGTTAGAACGTGGGACTTTGGTCCTTGACGTCCCGGGTTCAAATCTCACCAAATCACCTATGGATTTTATCTAATTGGAAATGCCACAAACAAGGTCTAGCCTGAAGTAATGTGATAAAACAAGCCCAGGCTCGTGCCTAGGGGCAAAAAGTCTGGAGTAATGTTGAAAGTAATTCCGGGCAAGAACCTAAAGGGAAACACGTTTTTTTCAGAGAGAAAATCATCCGTATCATCTGAAAATGAGTTATTTACATAACATGAGTCTCAGGGAACAGCGGTATCATATGCAAAAAATACAAACAAACAAAAAACAGTACTGTTTGGCAAAAATATTTAAAGTCAAAAAACATTAGCAGGATTACCCGTAAAATAGGTTTAGTTACAAATTACATCATATTACCGTGACAAAAAGAGTTCAGTTGAAAAAACCATAACAACATGCACACACAAATTTGCCTCTAAGAACAACAATCCAGCAAAACAAATTGCCTACAAAAAAGTTAAACCACAGCAAACAAAACCCACTTTACTACCAATACATGTTTGGGCGTTTTTCCAAAATCTAGAAACAACAAGTATTAGTCTGCAAAAGAGGTTTATGTTTCAACATTAAAAAATGTATATGATAAAAAGTCTGATTATTTCTCCACGTCTGAAATAGCAAGCAATCATTCAACTTGCTGAAAATTCACCTTTTTCTTAGCCTCGATGCTCTTGTCCATGTAGTTGGACCGGATGGCGTGTCTACTGAATGTGTAAGTGGTCTCGTCGTCATCCCCAGTGCTGGTAGGGGTAGGTTCGACCACCGGGGTCGTCACTGTGCTGGTGACTAGAGGAACAGCTACCGGCGACCGCGGAGATCTCTGCAGCGCCTTCGGTACTCTCAACTGGCAAGTGTATGAGATATTCAAAATTTATTTTTATTCATAAAAAAATTGTATAAACTTTGTTTGCTCCATCACTGTAACATATTGATGATCCTCTACCTCACAGAAAATGTAATCGAACAAAAATTAATACTTTGAGTTCCTTGAATAGGCCAAGGCCCCACTAGAAAAACACTAGGGGGTTTTTCTAGTGGGGCCTTGAACAGGTATTGCCATATATTATTATGTTGGATAAAAAAATGAAATCACCGATCAAACCTTAGAATATTTTTAGCATTACTATGACCAACATTTCCTGCTTATAAGATTTTTTGTTCTTTCAAGTACGATAATATGGATCTTACAGCGAGATTAAACCATCGACTGGCGTTTAAACAGGCTCATTGTATGGATTTCTCAATTTTAAATACCTTTCAACATTTTTATATAGCTTCAAAAATGATGATTGATGACTCTTGTAATGCAGTATTGGTCATTCCCTATGGTTTCAGAGAGAATAGTGTTGGTATTTGTCATATTCCCGATGGGACATTGATGAACTTACAAATTTAATGGAAAAAAACAGTTTGCTCAGAATGTGAAGGTAATCTGAGAACTAACTTAATAACACATACCATGCCACAAAAAAAGGTTTAAAAGTAATTTCGTGACACTTAAATATTTAGAATTTTAGCTAGATCAAAGTCTCTGTCAAGGACTTGTTTTGTCTACCATCATTACAATGCACTGGCAGCACAAGCCTTGAGGACAAAAAACTTAGCTTTTAAGTGTTGTTCTAAAATTTTAATGGTTGGATAAGGGGAGTGAGCTGGTCTAGTGGTAGAGCACAGGAATTCGGTCCCCAAGGCCCCGGGCTCAAACCCCGCTAATAACCAATGGATGTTATCTAAGTTATGTTGAGAACCTCTCTAGACCTAGCATGAAGTAATGTGGAAAACAATTCCTGGCTAGAAGATTAAAAACCTTCGGGTAAATTTGTTCCGTACCTTGAAGAGCCAGAGGTTGAGCGTGGCGGCGTACGCATCTGTAGACGTGACTTGGAACTGCGCTGCAGATCTTGGCAAAGGCGGCGGCAACAACCTGTGTTGTCGCAGGCCTGTCGTGTTGTTGTTGATTACTACAGCGTCATTCATGGTGGCAGAACTGCTGGTTCTCTCCACTGTAAACACAACAACTCTATAAGTTTAAAAGGATAAAACAGATCACAGATCCTAAGAAGTGGTTTTAGTGCTCTCTTGACAACCCTAAGGATGATATATGGCTTCAAAAGCTCAGTGGCTTAGCTCTTAGGTTTAACTCTAAGCCCAGGTGTTCTTCATTGTTGAATTTTAAGTAAATTTTCCTGGCTAAAGAGTCCAAATTTGTTTGGTAGTACAGTACTACCAAAGCTACATAGAATATCACATAAGGTTCTGAATCCACCCTTCGTTTATATTCAGTTAAAATACTTCCTATAAACTATTCCATTTGACGTTTACTGTGCAGTGTGATACTTATAAACTGTACAATGTAATTTAAACGCCATTTTCATAACTACCACTAGCCGCCCTTAAAACCTTGACACGCTTATACCTTTTACTTTTTCACACTTTTCTTGCGACCATACTCGTTATAACTTAAATGTACTTAGCACTTCAAACAAGCCTGTGACAACAGTTTACGTATAATACAATTACAATTTTAAACAAGAGAATTTTCGTTATACTAATACTCCCTTCAACGCGACCACTTAGCTTTGAAAGTGGAATAATCTTAAATGATCGTAAAAATTATTTTTAGATCGTGTATAATCATACTCACGTCGTCGACGACAGGAAGAGTTGTGTTTAATCTCTCTCTGCAGCCCCTTCCACAGTTTGGACACTATGAGGGAGTAGGCGAGGGTCATGATGACCAGGGGGATGAGCAGAAGGATCATGTCCAGGAAGATGTTGAATACCCTCTCACTAGCGGGGGACGGCCAGTCTTCGCGACACTTGTGTCTCCCGGCTAACAAACAGACGAGACATATGGTGAGTACATACTGGAGGTATGTAATTAATATTATTTCAAGAGATAATTGTTTGGCCACTATATCCTCACCTTAGTGTTTGTTGTTCGCGTGGTATCGAGGAGTTTTTTTCCAGTCCATCAATACATCTATACTAAGCGTTGTGCCCGAGTAGATGTCTCTTTAGGTTGACGAAGGAAAGGCCTTCAGTAAAAGAGCCATAACAATATACAATAAGTTGTCAAACGTTATCTTACATCTCGGCAAAAGGGAACTCCTTAGATACTCAAAGCGTATATTGAATTCAAAGCCTCCTTCTCACTGAACAAGTACTTATATCCTAGGGCGTGTGTCCTAGGGCTACTGTTTCTTTGCGCATTTGCTGATGCATTTATGCAAGAGTGTGTAAATGTGTTTTTTTTTTGTTTGTTAAATTTGCAGGTTTTTTCGTCTTTTTTATGAAAAATGTACTTAATTTGTTAGTATGTTTATGATTAATTAGATTTAGTAATCTCATTGTATTACATTATTATTTCTATTTATTTATGAATGTCAGGTTAAGTGTAAGAAAGAGCCGTTTAGCCACTGGTTTGGCCCTAACTTTGCCTAAAAAAATATATTTTTTATTTCATTTTATATGGCCCACTAGTAGGTCTAGGCTGAAGTACAGCCTCAGTTTTAATTATATGTTTATTCAAATCCATAATATATGTATAGTCAAGTGTTTTTGTGACTACGCCATCGAGATGGAGAATTAAAAATAAGGTAAAATGAATTGGATGGATATATACAATATTTCCTGAAGGTAGAAGGTTTTACATGCTCCAAAGTAGAGTGCAGATATTTCAATCACTAATGAATGATTGGACCACAATTTGCTTAAACAATAGGGAATATCGTTTATCAAGATCATTTCTAATTGGGGCACCATCTAAAATCGTAGTAATCTATTCTGTTTCAACATATATTACAAATGTAATGTATAATGACTAACTTAAATAAGCCTATGCCAACTGTGAATGACAAAAAACTATCTTTTTTCTATATTTATACACATAATATGCAAGTTGATCACATAGGTACAGTAAAAGTTACGTTTTACCATTCCAAAATACATCACCTACACATTTTCTATAATATCAAATAAACCTACAGCAAAAGTTTAAAATATAATTAATTACAGTATCCAAACTAATCTTTGACATTCTACAAGTTATTGCATTACGACAATGAAGGCTTTACGTAAGCTTAAGCCGAACTTGGATAATCAGCTTTTAACTTATGTAATTACTTCATCATACAAAGGGTAACACCGACACTATTACTTGAGGGTAAAGTTCAGTAATTTTTTTCTCAAAGCTACACACATCTATAAACACTTCGGGGAAATGATTGGTTGAAAATGTATCTTTAACGGTAAAACCTACCTCGCATCGCTTGAAGCCTCGAAACTAGCAGGATCGGCATGTTCCACGCCAGGCTCGACATCCAAACTACCGCAATCATCTTGTACGCGTGGAACTGGGTCTGCCATCGTCGAGACTTGAGTGGGCGACATATGGCGAAGTACCTCTCCAGGGAGATGGCCACAAGCGTCCACACTCCTACTGACACCGACACTGCTAAAATCATACAAGATGGTTGAACTACTAAGCCATAGACAAATCTTTTGTATGACTAAACTAAACAAGTTGAGTGAGCGTTGGTCCATGGAGCGCAGGGCTTCAGTTTTCAAGGTCCTTGGATAAGTATAAAATTACATATGTCGTTTAGCTAAAATAAAACGTCTTTATTCAGGAGGGTTTTCAATCAACGCTGATGTTTTTCACATGTCGTGTTAGTTTACAACCAAAAGACAATCTATGTTTTCGCTTATCGTTATTCGTAGATTTATAATAATTGGTACTGAATTTATTTTCTAATTATGATGAATAATGTATGTGATTGTTCCTCAAATACCATACACTCTCCATGGTTAAAAATGAAACTTGGCACATAGTTTCGTCTCCTGGGTGTAGTGATATAAAAAATGCCAGAGCCCTCTAGGACATAGGATGTAAAGAAGGGCTAAAAAAATTTTCTCCAACGATATTTTTTAGGAATATTTATTGAATATTCTTAAGGAGTAGTGACTTGATGGCATCAATAATTCTACGGGATGTCTCCTTTTATTACCTTTTATATCTCCGACCTTTACTTAAATTTAACTACTTATTTAAATAATTAGAACCAAACAAAGATAATTCACTGACTTATATTAATATGTATAAAATATATAATGAATTATTAATGGCATCTTGAACTTTTAACAGTAGGTCATGCATAAAACCACTATTTTAAGAGATTCAACTAACCTTGGAAATATGGAATAAGTTTGCACATTGTGCTTCCGAATATGAAGTTTCTCAGAACCTGGCCCACCAGTGTGAAAGGCATACAGAACACTCCTAAAAGTAGGTCGGATACTGCCTGAAACATAATTAGAAATCTATTTTAAAGTCATCTATTATAAACTGAATAATCTATTGAACATAATATTGAACTTTTCATAAAGCTAGTGAGATCTCACTAATCTCGACATAGTTTAATTTGGGCTTTATTATACATTTAAATTAATTTAAAACATTGATACAATGTAAATGAGTAAAAACAAAATACAATATTTGTAGGATCAAGACATTCCGGGTAAACAAGAATAGTATTTGAATTCATCCGGTGACGATTCCATTTTGAGTAGACGACCAGTGGTAGACCTACTTCAAAAGTCACTCTGAACCCTATCTCACGCAACCTAGTCCAAACAATAAATTTGTGTAAATGTCAATCAAAAACTGATTACAAAACAGTTTTCTATCTTTTTTGTCGTCAGTGTAAATAACTACAAAACAAGGGTCTTTTTCAGAAGAGGGCCACCGCTATTTTAACTGTGGAAACCTCATAGTTTATGTTAGATTTTTTGAGGTTTTTTTATCATTCCTACTTCATAAATAAATTAAAAAAAAAAAAAAAACTTGTGAGTGCTATAAACTAACCTAACCTAAACCACAGTTTAAAAATTGGCGGTTCAGCAAATTTCGTAGACTTCCCAAAAATACCAAAATGAGCCTGAATTGTACCACATTTTCAAACACGCCAGAACTCACTAGATTGAGCAGGTAGACGTTGGTGACGGTTCTCATCCGTTTGTTCCGTACCAAGGTGACCACGACTAGGGCGTTCCCCACGACTGCTAGCAGGAAGATCACCACGTACATGGGCACTATAGCATCGCTGATGCCCGTGCTGCCCGTCGCTGCCCTCCTGGCTACCGTAGGCGCTGCACTGCTCGACTCGTTCACCCAATACAAGGTTATGTTCACCAGATCCGTGTTCACCAGAATGTAGGCATGCGTGACAGCCTCTTCAGTCATGTTTTTATCTTCGCCGCATGATTTAAGGCTTTCTTTCCGTGGCTCACTTAAACTTCAATTAATTTTCACAAGTAAATTGGTGTTGCTTCCGATTGCTGAAGTGGTGTGAACCTGTAATGAGAAACATTAGTTACGGATTTACACAAAACTCTTGTTACTTATGATCTATAGGTCATACTTAATGAAATTGTGTACGTTTCGTTGAATCAGGCACTTTAAACGCAGCAAATATTGTAGAATTGCCTAGATACTGGTATTTAAAAAGTACCTGTATATTTTACATTGTATAAAACCAACCATACAGTAGCTAACCTAACCGAAAATTCAATAAATTGTATAATGGTATAACAGAAAATACCATATATAACTTATGTAAATTATTAAAAATTCAGCACAAGCAGTTGTGAACAGATAATTTTTCCATGTTATTTTAGTAGTTTATATAAAGATATTTTTACACTAATATTTTTGCAGGTTTTTTCTGAAATAATAAATAGGCTTGCTTGGCTACATTTTGTACCTCAGTTGGATGTAAAATTAGTTAAAATGATAACCAAATGTGTGTATAATAACCAGTTTTCATGGTACATTAATATATTTCAACCATGTCCAGCAAATAAAATCATAACACAAAAAAATGGATTTGTTTTGTAATTGTAACAACTAACTGTTTATTTATGAATGACAGTGAAGTCCATTTTCCTAAGAATTGAAAAAATCTGACACAAGAAGGAGGAACTGACTACCTCTTTAGGAGTTTCAAACTTGGGACAAGCAAAGTTTCAAGTCTAATTTCCAGGCCAGTTTATTGTATGTTGTTACTCTAAACTTTGTCACAAAAACTTACCAAATACAATGTCTCGATCTTCAATAAACCTCTCAGCTCTAAATAATTGAAATAGAAGTTATATATGTTGAATTTACCCTACTACATTCGAGTTATATATTTATTATACTTTTATAAGTTTCCTTCAACAAAATCCTTAGCATTTGATCACATAGCATTGAAATACAGGTATATTTGTACCAAATGTTAATTTGCATACTTTCATCATCAGCTAAAACATCAAATTATAGTATGGAAAATCTTTTTTAAATAACACAATCTTTGTCTAACATTATGTTTAACGATTTCATTTTTACTTTAGCTCATTAGGATACTTTAGAAGTGGTTGGGAATTAAGCAAATGTACAGGCCTATCAAAATAATTAGTAAGTAGGAGTAGGAAAGGATAAGATGGAAAGCGGTGGGTACAGCTTGCGAGAGATAAGAAGAAAAAGAGTGAGATTACTGGAGGGGTTGACATGTGCACCTTGTGTGTAGGGTTGGGAAGCACGCTATCGTGACCTATGACCTTTCTGTTGTAGCGTGACCTTGCAGACTGATAACTCTTTAGGCTAGTGGAGTGGATTGTTACAAATCAACCTCAGCTGGTTAATTTAACTCGTAATGCAAGAAAAATTCTAACAGTTGCATTAATATTCAAACACAACCTGTTTAAGTCCATTTGTGATTAGGGCCTAGTCACATAAAATTAGATTAGAAAGGTTGATGAATTATTTTTAGACACCGGTAGATTAGAAATAGTTTTAATCATTTTTAGAGTGGGGATTTAATTTGAGTAATTATGGTAGGAGGCATTGTAAATTAGACATACATTATTACGGATATTATTTTAAAGTCACCATACTTCGTGGACGATAGTCTGCTACAACCCTACAATACACCATTTGAAATAAATTACATTTTTTTGTTATTTACGTAAAACATATGGTTAATCTTTATCATTGGTTTCTTGTTGTATTTGTATGAGTGGTAAAATATACAGGGTGGAACGAAGTTAGTGATAATTTTTGTGTGTTCAACTACTTAGTAATGGTGACAAAATGGCACTAATTTAGATTACTATACCCTCACAGGTAGGAGAAGCAAGCGAATTAATATTTTCTTATATATATTTGTATACATAAAATGGTTATAAGTGCACTGGAAAATTGTTTTTATTTAGACTTTGTTGTCATTTTCAAAATCCTGATTAAATTTCCAATAGTAATAGTACAGAGCCATTAAGATGAAACATCTGTATACGTCTTTATTCTGCAATGGAAGTTTGAATTTGTGATTTTTTAGAAAAATGCTAAAACTTTTACATACGTGTTTCTACGTTAAACTGGTTTTGTTAAAGTGTCAAATATTATTAAAAACTTGTTCAATTAATAACCTTTCATTCTAAATTAAAACTATTTTTAGTGCTCTTATGGTCATTTATGTATGTGCTCGCTAATTTATGTAAGCAAATACAAATATTTTGAAAAATATTAATTTGTCTGCCATTCCGTACCTAGGAGGGTATGGAAATCTAAAATAGTGCCATTTTGTCACCAATAACAAGTAGTTAAAAAAATTGTTTAACACTAACTTCGTTCCATGCTGTATATTTCACGTATCTGTCTTTGGTTATTAAAACACTTCTTATTACACAATACGGTATCCTGCCAAATAAACTGTTAACACAGGTCATTATTCTTCAAGAGGTATCTTAAGTAAGTTACTTACTAAGTACTTAGTACTACTACTAAGTAAGTACTTAGTTTGTGTGCAATATCAAATTCAGAGGTTTTACACTACACTACTCCTTTCTGTGAAACAGTGATTGCAACAAACACTACAGTTGTTTTCACATTTTTTAAATACAACAATGTGTAAAAATATTGTTATAATTTAAAAAAGTTCTCATGTCTAGGACTCAATATGTAATTATTTACTCTTTTGCTGCCCTTCCCTTACCTATAACACAAACCTAAAACAAATGATCCAATTATCCAATTATAAGACGGTTTAGGCGTGTTATTTAATCGTTTTAGACCTTGGTTAAGGAATACTGGTAATTAAGTTCACAGGTATAGAATTTTTTTTCTAAATTCCCCAAAAGAATTATTTTATAAAAAAGTCTTGAGCTATATTATGAAAGGATAAATCTAATCACTCATGTTACTTAACACCGTTAAACACAAGAATAAATCAATAATCAATATAAATATATTATTATTAGTGCTAAGTAACTAAAACAATAACTGATTGTATTTTTGTGCTTTAGAAACAATAACAAATAAAGTTTGTCGAAACGATAGTGAAACAAAGCAAAACCCATAAACAAAACAATCGGTGGTTTTGAGGAATAACTGCAACGTAAAGATGCAACTTTGAATCCTTACAGCTGATTAAAAACCAAGTACGATTGAGAATTTGAATAAAATCACTGTTCCGTTAACTAACCTTTTCATCCATCTCAACAACAGATGCTTTTGTTAAAGAATATTGCTCTCGACAAACTTTGTTAACCTTCAAGGCTTCTTGGAGAGCAACTCTTTTGAAAAGGGGTGAAATTATTCCTTTTTGTTGTTAATATATACAATACGTGATGCTATATGATGTACATGCTACAGACTAATAGAAACTTAGATGCTTCAATTGTATGATTAGTTCTTATGCAAATACTACCTAACTATAAACAATATGTTAACTATATTGATATTACATGATAAAACATCAATAATATGAGTGTATTAGTAAATAACTTGGTAATAATGTCTAATAACTTGAATAGTACACTTGAAGAAACAATAATTATTAGTTATTGCTATAGTCCAGTCAAGAAAATGTTAAAAATCCGAAAAATCCCGAAAGATTTGAAACTTTGCAAACTTATTTCTAGGTACCTTAGGAAGATTATACCAAAAGTAGCCATAAAATATGAAGCGAGCTATTTGCCGCAGTTAGGGAAAACAGGGCACTTTTTTGTTTTCTGCTAAAATCTTGGTTACCATCGGTCGGAGTTAAAAGTGCCTCTATGCCAAATGAAATATCATTAAAGTTTCTACAAATATGATATTAATTTTACACTTTTATTTTATTCCTAATTTTTACCGAGGGTGCTAAAATATGGTGCTTTTTTCTCAGAGTGCGAACAATGGTGCAAACTCAAGTAGGTATTTCGTTAAAAAAAACGCCATATTTTAGCACCCTATAACTCGAAAAACATTAGAAATCAAATAAAAGTGTAAGTGTAATTTTTCTTGACAATTTTAAGGTCTTTAATTTGGCATATAGGCACTCTCCGGCCGATGGTTCTCAGGGTTTTAGCCGAAAACCAAAAAAAGTGCTCTGTTTTCCCTAACTGCCGTTAAAACTCACCTCATATTTATGGGGACTTTTGGTATAATCTTCCTTAGGTACCTAGAAATATGTGTGCAAAGTTTCATAACTTTTTTTTGTTGTTTTTTTGTTGTTTTTTTTTTTATTTGGGTCATAAATTTACATATTTTAACTTTACTATAATAGAAATTGAATGTGAGAATTGAAATTCACCAAAGCTAATTTTAAATCAACGGTACCTCTAGTATGTGCTTAAACATCCAGCTGTAACATTCCCTGGGTTTGCTACAAAAGTATTTCAATATCAAACTATGCCGTTATTAAAAGTTTGTGTCCGCGACCAGATGAAAGTTTCAATTGCAATGCAAAGAATGTTATGTCAAGGCTCCAGTTGTATTAGGAACATAACAAATGTAAGTGTAATAGAAAGTTGTTTAGTTTGCATATTTAAAGTATATAAGACTTTTTACCATTGTTATTCTTCAAAACATAAAATTATGCTTGTGGCACATGGCAGAGTTAATTTGAAAATCCAAATTGTGCTCTTTGGTCTACAAACGAGGAATAAAATTGTAGGCCTATAAACTATTGAAGAGCATTTTACTTACACCTTCAAGTGGGAGGTGCTTCGTATATTCTACAAAACTGATAAATTCTAAGTTACGATTGGTTTTTTGCAGGCGTACTCATTAGGGAATTCAAACATTGACAATGAATATTCTTAGATAAAGCGATCGCCGACTAACTAAATATTCAATAAGATATCCCCCTTATTTCCAAATTTCCCTATAGAGCTAGATCAATAGAGTAGCTATTGACATAGGTGGCAAGTTGAGGTATACACGCGGGACTTAAATTAGTTTGCGAACCAGCAATATCTGGTATGGAAACAGGGTGTTGTGGGATTT